GCGAGATTACCCATATTGAGACCACTAATTGCCCTGACGTTGGTCAAAGTTTGACCGGCAGACTTTGGCAAATAACGCGTAAAGGGGCAGTTCAGTTAATGTCTTTTCGTTCTTAAAAGGTCCCACTGGGTACGCTATCAGGATTTGTCAATGGTTGAAATCCAACAAATAATATCAGTTGCGTTCCTTGCAGAGATAACAGGTGATATGACTCTTCCACTCATTTATCATAATTTGTTGTCGTAAAGGGTGATCAACTAGAAGCCATCCATGGCATCATCAATTCAACAATTTCGGGAAGTATGTTCACACTGGACGAGGAAGTCGACAATAAGCTCCAATTTTGAATGTTATCACCCATCGCAAGACTGACGAAACATTACACGTATCCGTTTACCGCAGATAAATATATGCGGAATTCGTTCCACACTATGAGAGCAGCAACCCAATCTCTCACAAACGGAGCACAGTAAACAGCTTGCTTCACCGAGCAAAAACACACTCTTCCGACGAATAAAGCTACAGGATACAACTAAATTATCTGTTTGAATTATTTTCCCTAAATAATTATTCCCGAGATTTTGCATGTCGATGCATGAAGAAACAAGAGTTAAAAAAGAAGGAACTAGGAAGCTTCAAGCAGGCGCCTACAGCAAATACGTGGGGAACTCTCACTTATATTTATACTGTGTCTGAACCCGTTGAAAGGCACCTGAGGAAACACCAAACACACGTGGCAAACAGATTAGTGACTGCCTTACGCGGTCCGCATAAAAAGGAAGTCGTTTATAAGACCCCTTGCAGAACGTGAGATTCCATATATTGTGGCTAAACTAAAAGGCTTGCCTCCAGGTGCCTCCATGAACATCAATTAATCGTTATGATTCGATACCATCCATCTCAAATGACCATGCACATATAAGATACTGGGTGACTTAAGATACATGATCTGTCATGAAACCTGAAAACGGAAACTGATGTGAGAATTTTTGGACGTTCTTTACTTTGCGCATTTTATTTACTCCACCAGCCTATTGGATGAAATGTCCTTTTCTTATGCAGGAATTATGTTCACGTATTTATATCCAGCAAAATATTAATAAATTTTGCGAAAATGGGCACTGCAAAATATGCATGCAGTCTCCTGCACTAGGCGCCGTCCACACTGGTGAAATCAAGCGAAAGTCCGTTTATTCTTGTTGAACCGCATCTCACGCAAGTTAAACGAGTCAAGAATAACATGAACCCCAGGAAGACTGTTCTGAACTCTATACTTAAAATGTAGGCTGTTGACAAAAATTCATATATGAAATTATATTAATTCTTAAAGGATATCAGGATGAAAACTACACTGAAACAATAGTTTTAAATGATATTTAATTTGCACTTTAACATTTAAAACGTCTTCGCATAATAAGACATTTTATACATTTAATTCGAAGTTTACTGAATTACAACCATTTTGACTTTTTCGGGATAGTGCGCTTTTCTAAAAAAATCGGCATTTCGAAGCATAGCAACATTGCTTTTAATATTTCATTTAAGTTTTTAATTCCTCCAAGGCTGTACTTGATTAACATAGATATTGGATCCATGAATTGATGTTGGTTTGCGATTGATTGGCAATCATTTGTAAGTTCCGACGCATTCCATGAGTTAGGTCACATACTCGAAATGGGACAAGACGGCACATACACACGACACTATGTTGACGAGTAACAGTTCAAAGTCCAGTAGCAGTTGACCAGCCAACTTTGCGGCCAACGTTTTATGAACCACTTCAGTTGTTTTGACCAGTTGAGCAAGTCCAGTTACTCTGTGCAGTTCTCAGCTTTACTGGACAATCGACCTGGCGTATCGATGAAAGAAGTAGAAGAGGCGACTTTTACAACGACAGCGTCCCGCATTACTTTAAGTCCCAAGATGTTGATTGAGGCCTTTGAAACAAGTACCAACTGAAAACAGAAAACCTAATCCTCCTAAATGCAGAGAAAACAATTTTTTGGAAAGACTGAGATACCTCACTCATGTCCCTACGTTGTGATGAGAGCAGCCAGTCTGTGTGGCATTCTGGTCCTACAGGATCCTATTTGACCGTGAAAAATGCGTCTTTCGTCGGCTTCACACCCAGCTGTCCAGGCCAAATATTTCGTCTAGTCATCTCATGTAGAATATCAGGGGCATATTCCAGCTAGGGTCACTGGGGCGTTGAAGTAGACATTTTTCACAAAACTATGTGCTTTTCCTTACTCTTCCCTCACAGCCCAAAACCGGTTAATTTACGACTACAAATGCTTTACTGAAATATTGCCAGTAACATGTTCTGAAACTATGGTGCGTGCAGAGATGTCAATTTCCACACTGGTCCATGAAACTGGTCGTTATCGTAGCCGGCGCTCACCTTTTCCAAAAAATAGGCAGAATATTCAGACTGTACTGTCGTTCACAAAGTCTCTTTAATCAGAGTTCGTCCGAGAAATCCATTCATGATGAAAGAAACGTTAGGTGCCACAAATAAATGATAGCATTGGTTTGGATTTCTATACTTGTAAATCCGATGTTAATGAAAAACTTAAAAGTGCTGGGATCCAGCGATGGAATACTGAAATGAGTGGAAAGGAGGCATCTTATTCAGGGGTCATAGTCAATAAAAGGGGGCCTGCGTAGGTGCACTATCTTGACAGCTGACGAAAAGAAATGTCCTTGGAACTTCTGCCACAATCTTAGCTTTTGCATCTTAGGAAATTACCGTCTCAAAATTTTCTGAAATGGCTGGTCATATTATGCAGTTTCCGTGTCTGTCTTCTTTGTGGGTTTCATAAATCCCACGGCCTGACTGAGATCAAGGCAGAGATAGCCGAATTATCAGCGACTGTTTCGTCTTTGCAGCTACACCACCCTACACCGCACATTTCGACGTACAGTTAGCCGAGACTGTCGCCAATCCCGCTATCACCCGAGCACTAATAACCCCTGTTGGTGTCGTAACAACTTCGGTGTTGCGAAGTTTGCCGATAACATCGTGTCTGTTCAAAGGCAGGCAGCCCTAACTTCATCCCGGAGCCCACTGAGATCATCTAACCGGCATGTGCAGCCGACTGCTCCGTTGAAATTCAACACAGGCGCCACATGCTGGTAACCCACAATCTTTTGTGCCGATGCCCGTGTCTGCATTTTCCCCCTGTTTCTTTGTCTCCCTGCAGAGCAAACGGGTCAGCCCAAAGGTCAGTGCGTCCAATCTCTCTGGTAGCTCTAGCCCTGGACGCGCCTTTTACGTCCCTGTCAATCGGAGTAACAGACATTTTTTGGTTAATACTGGCGCGGAGCTATGTGTCATCCCTCCCACAGCATCCAACCGGTCACTTCTTCCGGGCCGTTGACATCTCTCCAATCGTCATCTTCGGTAGCTGACTTCTCCCCTTCTCTGGGCACCAGCTTTCGGCGTCCATTCTCTTGGGCCTTTGTCATTGCCGACGTGCGGGGAAACTGTATCGAAAATCTGGATTATCCGATCGACTACCGTTGGTCTCATCCGAACGACCAGACTATCAAGCTCAACGTCTGGTGTTTACCTCATTATGAACTGTCCCGCCCACTTGCCTTCCTGAACCCTGTTCGGGATAGCCCATTTCGGCAGCTCCTTGATAGATACCTTGGTATCACCTGTAGTACCTTCACGGCCTGACGTTGTCCACCACATTCCTGCGGCTGGCCCTGCTGCGTTTTCTTAGTCCCGCCGTCTAGTGATTCAACGACTGTCGGTCGACAGGGCCGAGTTTGAGCACATGCTTCAACTGGGCATCATCCGTCAGTCTGAAAGCCCATCGGTTTCACGTCTCTGCATGGATCCAAACCGTCGTCACTGGTGACTGGCGCCCCTGCGGTGACTACAGAACCTTGAGCAACGTAACTATACCCGACCGCAACCCTGTCCCGTATCTTCAAAATTTTGCCAATACCCTAGTCGTCAGCAAATCTGTGTTCTCGAAGATCGACTTAACCCTTGCCTTTCACCTGATTCCCCATCGCCCTGGAGGACGTTTGAAAGACGGTCGTCAGCGCTCCCCTTGCCCACATTGAATCGCTGCGCATGTCATTTGCACACCACAACGCCTTCCAGGCCTTCTAGAAATTCATAGACAGTGTGCCTCATGGTCTCCCTTTTGTGTATCTGTGTTGTCAGTAGGATAAATAATCATACAGTTGTATAGTACCGACTGCCTGCTGGCTGTTTGTGAACATTACGTGGTTATTTCGCTGTAACTGGTGGATTCTAGATCAAATAAATCAAATTCCGGACTGTGCCTGAAAAAGATCTGTTCCGAAGAATTTACTCAAATTTCGCGCATTGTTTTCCGTGGAAATTAAAGAGATGAAACTGAAGTTCATGTACCCAGAAAACACACGAGGAAGGCTAGGGGACCCATTGATGAGCCGAACCCCTCGCATCTGCGTCAAGCAACGGCACGATATTGGTAAAACACGCGTGTCTGGGCTTTTAGTTTCTACATGTGTTGTCAGTACGGTTATTAATTACGCAAATTTAATGTGTTTGATATTCTTCATGAGTTGACAGCATAAGGACCCTGTTTAGGCTGTGTGTCCTACTGTGACTTCGAATTGCCAAAGAAACAGAGTGAGTGTTAAAGGACGGGGGGAGAAGTGGTAAGCTTGTTGAAGCACAAGTCATCTCCGTCGTAAATAGATCCGCGTGCTATTCACCACTCTCATGGAGCACGGTCCAGTCATTTCTACCGGATTAGTCAACCGACCCACATTCGCAGAATTTGTAAACACTTCGCCATACTGGCCAATCCACGTTGAGAAGAAAAATAAGACCTGTTTGATCATTTATCACAGAAGACTATTCCCATTAAAGTTATCTACTGAAAAACCAGTAGTGACCATAAGCGTGCGTGCGTAAATTCGGCATAAATAGTAAGCAGTTTTGTAAGAAAACGTGTTCTCAACTTGTAAGCAGATTCCGTGGCAGAAATTTGTCAAACATCTGCAGGACGCTTGGTGAAATCTGCGACTGCTTTATTTTTCCCGGCTGGAGACTTGATATGCGGAGCTTTGCCGTTTTTGGTAGTGGAGACGGATGGAGAAGCTAAAATGGAGACGTCGCATTACAGTAATAAAATTATAGGCCAACACAAGTGCACGCCAAATGACTGGGGAAAAAATTCCCAATCTCATAAAATCAAGATGGCACGTCGTCGTGGATGGACAAATAATGCATAAAAGTAAGTGGAAAGGTAAGGCTCTCAGTTGACATACCTTTGTGTGAGCACGCTGCAGTTGCTTCTTCACATGCCTTTTGCGTCAGAAAATTGTTTGCACTTGGGTTGCAACCGCCAAATGTGAATTTTCTGCACTGTCCGATTTTACTGTCGTATCCATATCGTATGTGGATGGCCCGACACCTTCCGGCTTCCAGGGGCGTATTGCATATCTTCGTGGCGGCTGGATTGTAGGGATTTAGCTGTTAGCATGATTGGTTATTAGACATAACTACAATTCTACAGGTTAGGCTTGAGTTCTAGACTAGGAATTAAGAGGGGCACAAGTTATCAATTCACGGTGCAGTGAGATCTTGGTACTTGCAACACCCACAGATACAGTAGGTCAACTATCTCATGAAAACTGATAACAGAAACTGAAATGAGAATTTCTGGACGTCTTAAACGTTGTGCATGTTGCTTGCTCATCCAGTCACTTCAGTGAAATGTCCTTTTCTTGTAAATGAATTTAGTTCACGTAATTATATTAGGCGAAGTGTTTACAAATTCTAGCGAAAATGGACGTTTCGGTATACCCGTGCAATGTCATGCTAATCCCTGTCCTAGACTTCTGTTGGTCATATGAGTGGCTTTTTCATTGAAAGCAGAGTAATTTACCCGCGGGGGTCTTAATAATCAGAAGTTGCCAGACTTAAAAATTTATTTTTTTGTCGGATGTATCGTTAAGGAACGTGAGAGGAACGGCCAAAAGTGTCAAATGTTTTCTTGGCCTCACTGCAAAAATACAAAATACCCAGAGATCCGTCAACAAAGTGCAGCATTAAAGCACTTCTACAAGAATATCTTATAAGAGAAAGTTTTCTAATTGATCGAATGAATATTCGTTGCTCACTTACGTTGTGGAGGACCATTATATTCGAAAATGATGTTTCGGTCTTCACATGTGATCCAAACGACATCCTTCATGAAAACGAATGCCTAAACACTCGCTATGTCGGTAAACGCCTTCAAACGGTATTTTATCTTAAAGATTTTAACAGATAAATGTCATAGAATCTGTCTTTATGGACGATCGGAGGAAAACATTGAAAATCCTGAAGTATTCAACAATCTTTCAAAGTAGGTCTTAAACTCAACGTAATCCAAAACAAACGAAAAGTGCAAATTAATTTACCGGAAAAAATTTCTCTCTATAAACACAAAGTGGTATGTTTATGATAACGCCTATCAATTCTAGTTATATTTATTAATTACCGATCGGCCTGACGGCATATGACCTTATGAAAACTTTTGCTCCTGCAACGTCCACACTGGTGAAATTAAGCGATCTCCCGCTTCTCTTGTTAAATTGCATCTCATTCAACTCAAACGAGTTAAGAATGCCGCAAATCGCTAGAAAACTGCCTTGGAATCTATTCTCAGAATGTAGGCTGTTGACAAACGGTCATATATGAAATTACATTAATTCTTAGGGGTTATCTAGACGCAAAGGTTACTAAAACAATACCTTTAAACGTTATTATATTTGTAATTTCATATGTACTCCGTTCTTGAATCGGAAGACATTATTTGCGTCAAAAAACGAAAGTTACTAAATTGCAGCCATTTTTGAAGTTTCCGAGAATGTGCGTTTTCTTAAAAAACGAAATTTGGAAACAACACGATACTGCTTTTGGTATTTCTTCTGTCTTTAATGCTTTAAAAAATGTACTTAATTAACATTGATACTGTATCCATGGATTGGTGTCCGTTTGCCAGCGATTGATAGTCATTCGTAAATTTCGACAACTTTCATGGGTTAGGTCATCTACCGTATGTGCATGGACTGCGAAACGAGCAAAAAATGCTGGTTTGATTAACACGCCCAGTGACGGACGAATACCTTGATTGCATTTCATAGACGTATTCTGGAACGCAAGTAATTTAGATAGAGGAATATATCGTTTTTTATAACTATATAATTGCGGGGCGAGCGCACAAACAGGCGGGCAGACCAATATCGGCCACTTCTGGCGTTGAAAATTATGAGGCCCCTCGACGGGGTGCATTTTATGCACCTCCCGCGAAGTTCCTTTCCCCATGTAGAGTATGTAATAATATAAAATGTGCAAATCTGTGTGGGCATCAACCCTGGCTTACATTCAGGCATTTTTTTTAGGACAGTTATTGTCCTAACGCTCAGGTGTGCATAAATCATTTGATTCTGCCATACAGCAGATGATATAAACTATAAAATATCTTGATCGATATTTGAGTTGGTGAAACGGCATATATTCGGTGCGGTTAGTTCTGTTTGTAGAATTGACGAGAGTTCGAGAAAGTCCTTTTCTGGAGAAGATGTCATGTTAGGTCAGTTTAATCGAGAGGAAAGAGGTCAAGATTGAACAAATTTTGACAGTTCCAGATATCCACCTAATTTTCTATTCTACGAAGTGTCACCTGCTAAAACCCCTTATTTTCACGCCGTACGTTATGAAAACACATTCATATAACCAAAAAATATCCAAGAGGCCCACTGTGAAAATGAAAATTGTCAATTTTACTACAGGAAAATCAGGTTAAGCCAACTAAGATGCATTATCTTCATGGAACAAAAAAAGTTGCACTTTACAAATGCTTTTTAGCAAAATTTCAAAGTTTTATATTGCCAACCACAGTAATAAGCTTGTACGACAGTATTTGTCTTACTATACCGGGAACTGGTAGGCGTAGACACACACATACATACAGTTGGTGTGTTAACTCCTGAAATGTCGAGTGAAATTCCGAAATGCGTTATCGTTTCGAAAAGATTAATTAAGTAGGGTGTTAAATTAGCCAGCCTGCAACATAATTCTATAATATTTCAGTTAACTCAAGATGCCGGCCTTCAGACGAACTTCCGTTTGGCTGCACACAAAAACCACAGTCTGTAAATATGACTACTTGTGTAGCATGCATTTTTCTCATTGATTTTTGATGCCCCTAAATGTCCATTTATAATTCATGGAAAACACGCATAAATATATTTTTTCTTCTGCTCATTCGGTAGAAAATCACGTTTTCTTTAGATTTTAAACTCAAAGAAGGGTGATGATTTGGCATAAAAAGTTTCTAATTGTGAAACTGTTCAATACCGTGAAATGGCTGTTCACAAAACTTAATGTCTCTGCATTTACCAATGTGGCTTGTAAAGTTCACAATATGGATCAAATCCACTGCTCAATTTTATGAAAACTATATGAGCACCCTTTGTTACCGTAGAGAAATGTGTGGTTTTCCGTACGCGGAAAATATACGGCTTGCAGATTGGAAACCCTGAATCCAAGTCTAACGGTTGAGCGGGCTCAAAATTATTCGGGAATTAAATAACGTTCTGAAAACAAAATTATATCCTTTCTTCGAGTATAAAATTGAAAACAGACGTAATTATCTACCGAATCAATAGGAGAATGAATATTTTTGGACATACTTTCCATGAAATATAATTCGAATTTTAGGGCCATCGAAAATCAGTGAGAAAAATTCATGCTATATAAGTAGTCATTTTGCACATAGTGTAGTTTTGCGATGCAACAGGATGGATGTTCATTCGAAAGCCAGCGTCCTGATGTAACTGAAATATTATAGAATTATTTTGCGGGCTGGCTAATTTTACAACCCTACTTAATTAATCTGTTCGGAACGAAAACACATTTCGGAATTTCGGTTGACATTTCATGAGTTGGCCCACCTACTGTATATATATTGCGCTCTACATGCTGCCACCTTTCTTCGCTACGCCGTACAGCAAAGATGTCAAAACAGATCCTAACGGAAATTGACTTTGAACCGATACGGTAACTGGCAGCCGAAGGGCTGCCATAAACTACTGTAAAATATTCCGACCACAATGCCCATGATGGAATCTATCGTTGCCCGCCAGTGTTCAAGAACTGTGTCGGAATCGTTGAAAATGAAGAGGGTTGTTGTGCTCTGTTTAAAGCAAACTCCATAGTAAGGTGATTTCATGCTAACAGGACAGGTAATAGCCAGAAGCCCATACACGCCTGTTTCGCCGAAATTCTGCCACTATATGACACAGCTGTGAAGGTTTCGGCTCATCAGTGGATACCCAGGCACTCCCTGTCTGCTTTGTGGTAGATACTCCAATTTACAAAGTGTTGCTTTTTTAATTTTCTTAGAAACTAACTGCGAACTGGGAGTAGATCAGTACATTTAAGGTCTGCAGATCCAAGCACAAGTCACTGTGCCTACTTCCTCCTGCTGTGGAGCACATGGTGGACATCGTTCTGCATAATGGTCGAACTCTCGGTTAGGGATGGCCTTTCGGATGAGTCATGCAATATAACACCACGGAAAATCTCGACGTTGTGGAATTTGTTTTTAGCTGTGTACCTTGTGAAGGAACCGAGAGGTGTCTGGGTCCTCGTACGTTGAGCAGGTCACCGGTTTTGATTGAAAGCTACCGGAGTTGTTAAATCCAGGCGTGGTCAATGTCAGTCATGCCTGTGAAATGAACCATATAGATTCATAAATGTGATCATTGCGTGCAGTCAGTCATGAGTGCAGAAAGTAGGTTATTATTGAGCAAAAATGTGTTGTCCATATATAAGTGCTTGGATAAATGCAACAATATTTGGATAAAATCTGCCTTTAGAAACGTTCATGAATATCAGTCATAGACTTCTTATTCAGAATGCTTTTCGACTAGAATTTTGCTAGTTCTGTCACTGTAAACGGTGTCCCGTTGCGAAAACTTTTCAAAATGTTGTTGGTCATTTCTAACAAAAGTTGATCTTCACAGATTGACGTTTGCTTTGCAGAGGGATTTTAATTTAATACGGTAGGTTGGCTAACTCATGAAATGTCAACAGTAATTCCAAAATGCATTTTCGCTGCGAAAAGATTACTTAAAACGTGTTGTTAAACTGATCATGATGCAGCATGGTTGCATAACAATTCAATTACCTCAGGATGCCGGCTTTCGAACAAACCACTTTTCGGCTGAATGCAAAACTGCACTCTCTAAAAAACGATTACTTAAGTAGCATGCATATTCTCATTGATTTTCGATGCCCTTAAACATTCAATTGTATTTCGTGGAAAACATGCCTAAAAATATTCAGTCTCCAGCTCATTCGGTAGAAACTTACGTCATCTTCCAGTTTTACCATCGAAAGAAGGGTATAAGTCGGTTTTTCAAAACCTCTCCAATAACGGAATCATTCTGAACCCGACCTGCTGTTACACTTGTATTCAGAGTTTTCAAACCACAAGCCGTATATTTTCCGCATACGGAAAACCACATATTTCTCCACGGTACTAAGAGGAGACCATATGTGGTTTAAAAATTGTAGCAGCAGATTTGAGTCGCATTGATAACTTTACAAGCCACATTGGTAAATGCAGAGACACAATGTTTTATGAACGGCCACTTCACGGTATTGAAAATCCACAATTAGAAACTTTTGTAAAACCGACTTATACTCTTCCTTCGAGGGTAAAATTGGAAGAACACGTAATTCTCTAAGGAATGAGTAAAAAAATGAATAGTGTTATGCATGTGGCCCATGAGATATGATTTAATTTTCAAGAGCATCGAAAATCAGTGAGAAAAATGCAAGCAACATATGCAGTCACTTTTTACAGAGGGTGGTTCTTGCATGCAGCCGGAAAGGAGTTTGTTTGAAAGCCGACTGCCTGAGGTAACTGAATTATTATAGAATTATGCTGCATGATGATTGATTTTACAAACCCACTTAAATAATCTTTTCGAAACGAAAACCCATCAACAATTAATTAGGAAATGCGTGCTATTTCAGTAGTCCTCTTAGCGACAATGAATGTAACGTCTGCATACCGCAGCCACAATTTAGGACTAATGAGTGGAAGAGTCATTCATCCTAGTTTCTGTATTGTTACCTCTGCAAAAAACGTAACTGATATTATTTGGTGGATATCAACCATTGACAAATCCTGATGGCGCACACCGTGCGAGCTTTTAGGTATGAAATACATTAACTGAAGTGCCCCTTTACGCATTGTTGGTCAAAATCTGCCGGCCAAACTTTAACCAGAGTCAGGGCGATTACTAATCTCACTACGAGTAATCTCACATGCAGGCTCTCTTTACGAGAAAGTCGTTCGATCTACAATCAGGATGAACCAATGAACGTCACCGATATGTCCATTGTGAATATACCATCTTTTAACTAATCAGGGACTTCATTTCTACTTTTCTTTCTTTAATGCAACATCTATTTATTTTTCAAAAATGCGTGGTGTCAAGATTTGCGTAAGTATTTACCATACTGACGACACAGGTCAAAGCTAAAAGCCCAAATACGCATGTTTCGCCGATATTGTGCGGCTGTCTGATACAGCTGCGAGGAGTTCGGCTCATCAAGTTCGTGCATTAATTTCCTGGGAAATTAAAAAAGGCAGAGGAAAACTGCCGTTCATATATCAAAAAACACACGAGAAAGGCTGGGGACCAACTGATGAGCCGAACCTCTCGCAGCTGCGTCAGGCAGCGACATAAGATCGGCGAAACACGCGTGTCTGGGCTTCTAGCTTCTACCTGAGGGAGAGAAAGAGAGAAATTCGCTTTATTTTGAAATCATAAGCTCAAAATTTTCGGCAGAAAATTGGCTTCATTCAATATGGGCAGTAAATAAGTTAATAGGTTATTCCCGAGTCAAAATGTTTAACACCAGAGGAACGATTATTTTGAGGACAGTTCAAGTCTCAGCTTCTGTATTTCTATCTCTT